TATCACTTTTTAATAGAAAAGATTAGTTCTTTCTGAATAATATCGGTAAAATCCGATTTTTTTCCATTTGCATGAATTTTATTTAAAAAAATATGGAATTTTGTCAATTCTGGTTTTTAAGGAAAAAGTCAAAACAACAGACAGGACAAAATCAGAAGACACGGTAGTGTTGCGAGTGTACATAATCATGACTTCGCGATTTAAGATTTCTATTTGAGATAAGATAGGAATTTTGTTATGGCAAACATATCAATAGGATCGGACGCAAGATATGGCGGAGAATTAGGATGCGCTCTGGAGAAGCATTTAGCGGATACAAGATACGGAAGAGGGTCATTAGAGATATACATAGGTATGGCATGATGGGGTTGACGTTTAAAGATTTCCTCCCAAAATTCGCGTGTAGGTTTAAACCGGCGTTTTACATAAAAGACTCCCGGCGGTATTGAGGAGGGATTGAGGGAATTGTCGGACAAGGTGTAGAATTTTTCCAAGTCAAAGTTTTCTGGAGTACACTGCTGCTCGAATTCTGCCGTGGAGCGGAGGGCGGTGGTGTAGTCTTCTAATGTTAGAGTTGCGAGCCTAGGTTCTATCCCTATTAGGTATTCCGTGATCTAGACGGCGTGTTCATTTTCGCGACGAGCTCGTTTTGCTTCTCCTGAAGGTGTCTTAACGCCCATTTTGTTCGATTCTTCGCAGTGTTAGCAGATATTACCGTTTGATCCACTATCAAAATGTAAAATAGGGTTAGAGGAAGGGTTTTCAACGAGGTAAGAGTATTGAAGAGCCGGGCAGGGCAGCTTCATTAAGTTTAAGTAGTCGGTGGCTTGTTAATTTTAATGGAAGTAGTTGGAAAAATGAATTAAGAAATGAATTTTCACCGAAAATGTCGGCGGCATGCGAATCCTATGTATTTGTAGCTGGAGTGTGGGAATGATTTAAGGAAGGAAAAAAGAAAAAATGCGGAACGGCTAACCAAACGCGGAAAGAAAAATGATTAAGACGAAACTTACTTTTGTTGTTGCGGAGCACAAATCGTGGGTTGTAAAACTGGCGGGATCCCGTGCTGAAGAATCACAACGAGATTTTTAGATCGCGCACAGACTCTAATACGGTTAGAAAGAGGTTTCGTCGACTGCTTCAAATGATGCCGTTCTCCGCCGGGAAGGTAAGGAAGAGAAGAGAACGAGAATCTGCTCTGAATCACGATTTATATAAAATTTTGGAAGGATGGGAACGATCTGAAGGCGTGATGGATCTCTATGTTAATTTTCGAATGATAGTTTGGAAAAATCGCGAGTGTAGGGAAAGAAGGGGAGCAGTGTTCTGTGAATCGTCATTGTTTTTATGTTTCCTACGAATGACAGAATTAGTTCATGAAAATTTCATCCGTCATTCCACATCCTTAATTACTCATTGATATGTTCACCAACGGCTACCGATCACTTTCTCCTGATTGGCGTTTTCTTAATCTCCCCTCCAGTTTCGAGAGTGTCGGTCTTGAACAATCTCGGTGCTTTCTTATACATCAGGAATTTTGATTTTGTTAGTACTTTCAATTTTATTAGGATGCTATAAATCTTTTGGCGTCGGCGGGACTGTTGTCCACAAAAAATTGTTTTTTCCGGACGATTTGATGACGGGACGTATCTCAAGAGGAATTCTGTGTATTTTTTCAGAAACTCGCGTTTCTCTTTTATTAGATAATAAATCTTTCTAGATCGTTTGAGGCATTTTTATTTGCCGATTAACAGCCGTTATCTCTCTCCTTAAGAGAAGAATTCGTGAATCCTCCGGACGTAACAAATAAATACGCATGCATCGAAACGGACACATTAATAATATATTTAATAAACACACTAATTCTTCTCATTTGTTTTATCTTTCTTTTCTCTTTCTCTTTAGAGAAAAGAAGAATTTAGAAAGAAATGCATAAATTATATTATACCTTCATCATTACATTGTTCGTTCGTATTAATTTTTATATCTATATAAATATATATTTCGTAACCTCTAATTACAGTCTCTGCTCCTTATGTCACGATTCTGATTGACTGATTATCAATAAATACACATAACGAGAATAAGGAAGTAGAAAACAAAATATGTTTGTTGCTCTTTTTCCATGCATTCGATTGGCGATCAACGATGATGTTGAGTTTCGCGGCGAGTTTGATGATAATTTGTTTTGGAATGTAAGGCTCGATACTATCAGTCCTCTCTCGCTCCGCTAGGGCGATGGGATAAATTTTAAAAATTTCATCCGTCGTTCTACACTCTGAATTTACTTATTTGTGTGTCCGCTAATCGTCGCTAATCGCAAACTTCTGATTGACATTTTCTTAGTTATATACTTAATTATATATTTAGTTAGTTATATATTAGTTATATGGTTTTGGGGATATTGGCCTCGAACGATCTCGGCGACTTCCGCGTTTCTCACGCGGCAAGTTCGATTTTATTAGTAGGATGTTATAAAATTTTTGATCGCGCAGCGGAACTTTTATCTTTAAAGCATTTGTTTGAAATAGTTTGATTTTGAAATATATCTAAAAAGAAGTTTCGCTGTGTGTCTTGCTGTTTGTTTTTTAAGATAGGCTCTTGAAAGTATCCGGACTTTGTGTTGGTGAGAATTTAGTGATAAACAAGAAATTCTTTTGTAAATTGTTCGAGACATTATTGTTTATCGATGAGCAGCCGATAGATCGCCGGAGAAAGAGAAGAATCGTGGAGTCCGCCGGACGTAACATTACCTTACTCTTTCTTTCGTTCTTGACTCGCTTATTCTCATTATACGTATTGTAATTAGAAATACATTTCCCAATCTTTCACAATCACTGGATCCTACAGTGGCCCTGATTTATCCGACCTGACAATCTGCAGGATCGATAATCAGTAATAAATATGCACGCATCAAAAAGGACATATTAATAGTAATCTAGAACTTATAATTACATAATAAAAATAAATATAGTATATTTTAAACTGATAAATTCCTTTTTCTTATTGTCGCTTTTTCATAAGGATAAATTGAGTGAGGAAATTTATTAATAGAAATGTAATTAAGAAATAATGACAAAATCACAACTCTTTTTATATAAGTATACATTTATATAAGTACTTTAAGTATTTAAAATAATTTATATAAAGTTTCATGGCAATGCAAATATTATTTTGTATTCTGTAAATAAAACCTAAATTTTTATTAAAGGCACAAACGAAAAGAATGATAATATAAACAAAATAAAATTTTTTTTTACAGAACAACTAAAATAATTTCTTATTACATCGCAATAGAAGGTTACATTAAATAATCTTGAATACTTAAATAAATGCGATTCAAATAATTCTTATTATACTTGTCACCCTTTATTTATCTTTTTGTAAAAAGGTAATTTTATAGTAATATCAGACATTTTGTAATATTAATCATCTTTCTATATACGAAAAGCGCATTTCTACTTGACACTTTTCTACTTGACATTTTTTTTCTATAATGCGCACAACGAGAATAAATAGGATAGAGAACGAGCGAGATGGCATACTAGCTCTTTTTCCACGTATCTGATTGGCGGTCAACAATGTCGTTGTGTTTCGCGGTGAGTTTGACAATTACTGATAGTTCGTTTCAGAGTGTAAGTGATGTTTATGCGCCATAATCTCTTATCTTGTAGGTAAGTTCTAAGAAGCAATATGAGTACTGTCATTTTAAATGCATGTATTATTCATTGTATTGTACTTTTACGTATGTATATGTTTGTGCTTTTTAATATTTTTTCTTAATTTATTTAATATTTATTGAAGTATTTCAAGATGTTGAATTACAATTTTTTTCTTGAATACTCTGAAAATGTATGATAGATGTAATTTTAGTACAAGTGCAATATGTCTTTTTTATATTTTTATTAATACAATTTCATTGAAAAGATAATTCAATTTTATTAATAATTATTAAATATATCTTTTTGATATATTGTTTAAATAAATATATAAAGAATCAGTCTAAATCAATATGATCAAGAGTTATACAATAATCTATACAGATCATATCTGAACACTTCTAGCTTTGATTTCTGAAAAAAGCACAAACGCGTACGTAAAAAGACAATATTAAAATGACAATATTTATATTGCTTCTTAAAACCTATGCAAAATAACAGATTATGGCGCACAAACATCAGTCACCTACACTTCGAAACAAATTATCAACAAATCAAATTACCAACTCACCGCGAAACTCAACGACATCGTTGATCGCCAATCGGACGCGATTCTCTTTTGGAAAAAGAATAACAAGTACACTATCTCGCTCATTCTTTCGTTTTCTACTTTCTTATTCTCATTATGCATATTTATTAATAAATCAATCCAAATCGTGACATAAGAAGCAGAGACTATAGTTAGAAATACAAATCAATTTTCACGAAATATATTATATCTGCCCGCCAATGATTCGCTAAATCCTACAATGACCCTGACTTATCAGTCTGATGATCCGCTGCGTCGATAAAATTAATATTGATAAATATGTGTTTATCGAAAAGAAACATTATTAGTAGTAATCTAAAAACATTTAAAAGTGAATGAATTATGATTGCAAGTAATTGTACGAGAAGAATACATTAATTATTTAGCAATAATTTATAATTCGAAAACA